AAAAAAAAAAAAAATTATCAAGAAGACTATTAGAAATATGCATTTAAATTTACTATGGTTAAGGCTGAACCTTGCTCCAAGTATATATTTTTCCTGAAAACATTACTTAATGATTATCTAAAGACATCATGGTTGCTAGTCATTTCAAATATTATTTCATCTTTCTCTCATCCTGGAAACATTTCTACTTTTATGCTTCATAATGTTCATAACATATTAACATAATACATAAAGTACTATATGTAACAAACAACATATATAAAGTATTTTTTTTAACTTATTTGGGGTATTCGCTGAGAGGTTTTTTTAAGATAATATTAATAGAGTTTCCTTTCAAAAAATTTGGGCATCATTGGTCTCATTTGTCATCTGTCAATAATATTTTTAAAGAATACATGTGGTCCAGGCAAAGTAGCATGCTTCTGTAGTCCCAGCTACTTGAGAGGCTGAGGTGGGAGAATCCCTTGAGCCTAGGACTTTGATGCCAGCCTGGGCAGCACAGTGAGATCCCTTCTATTTAAGAAAATTAAAATAAAGTTTAAAATGTGTGTGTGTGTTTTGTGTGTGTGTGTGTGTGCGCGTGCGCACAAGGAATGATTTGGAATCCCCTTTTATGCTCTGTCAAGCTACATCTCTGCAGGGATCCCACAGAGAAAGAAGAATCAAACCATTCTCTTGTGTTTGTAGCTAAGGGCAGCAAACCCATCCGTCTCTATGGCACATGCGCTCAGCCAGCCATGACAGCTTACCTTCCGCCTCTCCTTCTCAGTCGTAGATTGCTTGGAGCTTTCTACAAGCTGGAAAAGTGCTTCATGTTTCTTGGTACTAACCATTAATTTCTTCTTGGCCTACAGTGAGAAACATACAAACAACAAAAAAAGGAGCAGAGGCTGATGCCAAGAGAAAACTCTTCTCTTTTGGAACAAAGCACATTCATGTGCTAGCTTTAACGATTATGTATCCTAGAATCCTCCAAAGGCTGAAACAAAAATGCGTACTCATTCCCATCCTCACTTCAAAATGTACCTAAAACATCAGAGCAGCTAACACTTTGTCCTGAGAACTCCTGCATATTTTTTCATTATATTGGGTACCCTCAAGAGGGTTTTGAATTTTGCTAAATCATCGAAGGCCTGCAAACTTCCAAAATAATGTTCTAGTGAACATAATCGCTTTACCACAGAAGAAATCACAACAAACACGGAAGACTGCCTGCATCATTCTTTACATCAACCTAGGCTACAATTGAGATTGTTTTAAGATGTTATCTTAAAACGTGTGGCAAGGGTCGCAATTTGCTTCCTGATGGCCAAGCCTGAGAGCTGGGCATTTGCCTGGCATCTTGTGAAACGCCCTGCACTTGCTGGAGTTGGAGAAGTAGAAAGAAGTGGGGAAGGAAGGAGCACTCAGAGTCTCCCTACCCTGTTCATGCTGACCCCTTGGAGCAGGTTAGGATTTAGGGGATAATTTCCTAGTCTACCTAGTCGAATTTAGCTGAAGATGATGCTCCAGAGATAAATTATGCAAACAGAATTTGGTTTAAGTTGGATTTAGCCTGTTCAGGAAGTAGGCTGATTGAAAGATTTTGGCTTTTTGCCTCGAGGTTGCAAGGACTGTCAAACCAGATAGTAAAGGGGAGGTCTCTCTTCCTTGGCTTTTTAGCTTGGAAATCAGAGGCAACGCCTTCTGCCTCCCTCTAAATGTGAGAAACCTCAGCAAAGGAAAATTAAAGAAATAAGCTCATGGCCCTCTTTCTCCACCTCCTGTCAGCCACATGCCTGCTGGGAAATAAGATTGTGAGGCATGAATATTTGGTCCTTTAAGGCTTTTCATTAGAGTCTCCTAAATAGACTGTACTTCATTACTGACATGCTGAATCCCTTGAATTGTAACTTCAAGGGAGAAATTTATTATAGCCCAAGAATTTTATGTTCTCTAATTTCTCTGTCACTCTTCATAAAAAAAAAAATGAAATCTTTTATTTAGAAAAATGACTTGATAGAAACTGGGAAATGATAAAAGATGTTTTTTCTTGGGAGCCATTGCAGCCTCTCAGCATTATTTCTGGCTTTTGATTCATTGTACTGAATTCCTGTGAAAGCTGAATATTTAAAGAAAATGGATTTTTAAAAACAAATCCTTTTAAAGGCCAGGTGTAGTGGCTCATGCCTGTAATCCCTACACTTTGGGAAGCCAAGGTGGGCAGATCCCTTGTGCCCAGGAGTTCGGGATCTGCCTTGGCAACATAGCAAGACCCTGTCTCTATTTCTTTAAAAAAATAAAAAACAATTCCTTTTAAAGAAAACTTATAAAATCCATGGCAAAACTAAAAACAAATGACTGGACACTGTTGCTGGGACTTATTATAAAAGTGATTCTCATAAGCATCCTTTTACCATTGTAACTACTGTGGACATAGAAATTCACTTACATCAAACACTTTTTATTAATGTCCTTGGTCTTATGGAGTTAGTCCTCAGTTTTGGCAGAAGCTCTGGAAGTAACACCAAGTTTGCCTGTTTCTGAGGGCGTTTATCTCTAGTTATTTGGCATCAGTGGCTGTTTACTTGTAAAGGTTCTCTGTGGGCACTAACGCTTTGGAGATGAAAAAGGATTTCAACACTTACAGAACAAGTCTTCTCAGAGGGGTTCATTGAGTCTTGTTAGCAGATTTACTGCTAGTCCTTTCTACCTGAAATGAATTCCTCCTATACTACATTGTTCTAGAATAATCTTCTGTGCATATGGATCCCATCTGTTATTTTCTCTGCTTCAGAACTCATACTGATATGCTCTAGCTTCCCACATCAGATTGTAATTCCTCTCCTTAGAATGTACTCCCTATTTCCTGCACATATGTCATCTAGCCAACTAAATTTTAAATTACTTGAAAAAAAGTTATATCTTAGAATAGTGCTGTGCACAAAAAGCGGACCCCACATACTCATGCAATTGATATATGCATCCCCTTTTACATATCACAACCCACCCCTCACTGGGCCACTCTTACTAGTGATGTACATATCACTAACACCTTTCTACAAATGAAAAAAAACAAAACCCAGGTAGTGTTTATCATTTGCTGTAAGTTACAAATTATACAGAACGGCAGTCAGCATAATGTAATGATTAAGAGCAGTGACCCTGGAACCCAACTTATGACAACCATTGATTCAACCATTAACCAGCTCTGTAACCTTGGGAAAATTACTTCAACTCTCTCTATCTCCATTGCCCAATCTGTAAAATGGGGCAATGCACAATGACATATGACATTGGGTTATTGTGATGATTAAATACATAAATGTAGAGCACTTAGCACATAATAAGTTCTAAATAATCGTATTTAGAGCCATGCACTTCCATTGGTTTGGTGAAAAATATATCTATGTAACAACTCAGGTAAGGAAACATTTTTCTCTTCAGTTAGCACTTAGAAGTACTAATGCTAGAACGTCATCACATTTGTATGAAAGCAAAACACTTCAATTCTAAAAACTGAGTTTACACAAATGATATCTGTGGATACTTGCCTTAATTTGCTGATTCCAGTTGCTAATGACAAGATTTGCTGTCTTTTCAACTTCATTGTCAAGCTATTGAAGAAGGAAAAAGGAAACAAAGCTTTGCTTTCTTCTTCTTTAGTCACTGCAATAGATTAAATGTTTGTGCCCCTAAAATTTATAGATTGAAACCTATTCCCTCAAAGTGATGGTGTTTGGAGGTGGAGTCTTTGAGAGATGATTAGGTCATGAAGGTGGAGCCCCCATGAATGAGATTGGTGCCCTTATAAAGAGACTCCAAGAGCTGCCTAGCCACTTCTGCCATCTGAGGTTACAGTGAGTAAATAGCCACTGATGAACCAGGAAGTGGGCTCTCATCAGACAGCTAATGTGCGGGTGCCTTGATCTTGGACTTCCCAGCCTCCAGAACTGTAAGAAACAAATTCCTATTATTTATAAACTATCCAGTTTATGGTATTTTGTTAGAGCAGCCTGAACTAAGACAGTCACAGTACTAGCTTATCAATCACTATTACAATTCATGGGAATTTCAAGATCCTACAATGGACATATTAGACAAATTATCTTATCCCTGTGTCGAGTAACAGGACTTAGTAAAATAATTATTTCTAATCTATAAGAATGTAAAAAGCATGCAAACATGTGCAGTCATGTGCAAGAGGCCCTTGCATGAGCTGATATTGTTGCTAGTCCCATCACATCATCTTCCATGTCAATCCATGCAGCAAAAACCTCAACACCGTGAAAACTGGTAACAGTCCTAACAGTGCCAATTTTACTATGTGTCTCCATTGCCCCTGAAGTGAATATTGCTTTAATTTCAAAGATATTGAACTCTTAATCATAATTAACTTTTTCCCTTGCTTTTAAATAGCCAAAGAGACAGTAATAATAATGATGAAAATGATCCTGACAACTTCCCAGGAGGATCTGATGGAAGTTACAGCAGAACTTTTTTCCCCGGAACACAGACCCAGCAATCAGCCATTATTCAACCACTGAGATCTAGCGAATGCTACACTTTTATTTTTTTCCAGTTGGTTCAATTTAGAGTATATGGTTCATTGTAACAGACACAATGAAAATATTTTATGTACTATGCCACTTTTGATTTCATGTATGTGGCTGGAATGTGGAACAAGTTCACTTTAGAAAATCAAATCTAATCTTTTGTGAGAGTAGAGTGGGATGGTGGAGTGCAGTGGAGAGGGGCAATGCAGAAAAGAAGAAAAACAGGACCAGTAGTTTGGGGGTGGTCATGACATCCATTAACTAAAGCACTGTGATCAATTATCACAGGACTATGCCTCATTTATGGTAAATATTAAAGAAATGCTAATGACTTATATTATGCAGTGTGAAAAATATTTTGTAATCAATGAAATATAGACTAGTAATTGGTTTTTATTAAGTTGGCTTGCTAAGGCAGGTTATATTGCTTGCTAGTAATTCCCATCAAGTTCTGTCCATCACCCAAAACTGAATAGAGCATCCTTTCTGGTAAAATATACCTATGTACATACAAATATCAATTCCACTTCCTGACTCAGCTTAATGAGTTTGAATAAAATTTTTAAAAATCATTTCTCTTCCATCAGAACTTTCATACCTCTCCTCATCCTTCTGACTTGCCCCTGAGGATGTGCTTTATCTGACTGTATTTCCTTGAAACTCCCCCTTAACCACCACCCCTTCCCTTCACAGGGACCACCTACCACAGCTTACAAACATCTTACCTGCACCTGGTCCTGAAACAAACAGTGACCATAACCCTACCCCTATGACAGCCAAGCAGTGTTTATTAAACACCCAATTATGTTGCCTAGAAGTAGAGTATAAAGTGTTTAACTACTGAATAATATACAAAGAAAAAGAAAAAGGAACACAAATGTAACTGTTCTAGGCCAAGGGCAGTGGCTGACGCCTGTAATGCCAGCACTTTGGGAGGTCGAGATGGGCAGATCACCTGAGGT